AATTTCAATAAAGTACGCGATCTTTACATTTTGTGCAAATTTCATGAGGACGTGTTTTCGAAGGCTTGTAACTCGGCGAATTTTATAGACTGGAGCTCGATTCATGCACCATTCGATAGCTCAGTTCCTAGCCACTTTGACTTAGGAAAGCAAGCAAGCAAGGCTTTTGAGAGATACGCGAGAAGTGCGGGCAAATTTACGCACTTTCGTGGTGCAGTTCCAGTCACCTCACCGTATCTCTCCAAAAAGTTCCTGTAATCCTCAAAGACCACGATTTTCGTAAAGAGCGTGTTCGAAAACCTCTATAAGCGAAGTTTCCTTACAATTCAGGAGCATCAACATTTTGACCAAAATCCATCGGCGAGCTTCCAGAGCGTAAAACGCGAAAAAATGAAATGACCCGAAAATCTCGGAAAACTTGCTCATAGTGGTTATCCGACCTGCTGATTACGATAATCACATCTGCTTAGCAAGAGAGCATCATATTCTACGGCTATGGCGAGTAGAATTTGGGACGACAAGATTTTTCCACAATTCACCAGCCCATCTTTTTCCTTTGAAAAGAAAATTGCGGCTAATGTTTAGCGCATCATAATCTACAGAAAAAGTAATATCAAAAGGTCCCTGCTGGAATCTACTCGGGACAATGCTCGCTGCTTTACACCTTCGAGAAGAAACGTCCGCAGAAAGATTCAAGAATACTGAAATCGAGATATCAAGGACATGCTGTATACTAAAAGATTCGCCTTGATGAGCTGAGGAAGGAGCTGTTTTCGGATTCAGAATATACCTATTCCGAAGGAAGTTATGGCGAGTAGAATTTAAAGACGCGTGATTTTTGCAGAATTCACCATCTCTTTTCGCGCTTTATAAAGCATGTCTCCGTCTACTTTTTACCGCTAGATTATCTACGGAAACAACTCTTTCCGATTCGCCTTACCGGTATCTTTTAAGTGTGAAAGGGGCTGGCCCACAGCGTTGCAAAGAGGCTCTGCAGAAAAAAGTGAAGTTTTGCTGGAAGCAGAATATCAAGTCATGCGGTGTGTCACTTTGCTCACATAAGCAACAAGACATGCTGATTACAAAGATTATAATTGTTTTGCTAGTCATAGTGTTACTGTATAGTTATGTTTGTTTGACGGTAAGTGGTTCATATATATTTACTAAGTTCACGTACGTACGTAGTCCTTTCTCTTTTTTCCACTACAAAAAAGGATATGGTTTTCTGCTGGAAACACTCAGCAGAAACTCTTCCATCAAACGCTCTTTTTCTTAAACTTTTGCCTACATTATGCGCCGAAATACACGCTCTAGAAAACACCACCACAGGATGCGACGGATTCCTACCATGCACTTACCCTGACCGAGCCGATTACAGCAGTTCGATATATGAAAAGATTCGTCTTGGCGAGCTGAATCCAAATCTGCCTTCAAATTTGAAATCCATTGAGAACGAAGGGAGTTATGACGAAAAGACGCAAAGTCGGCGACATCGGCGAATTCGGCGACATCGGCGAATTCGGCGACATCGGCGAAATTGGCGAATTCGGCGAATTCGGCGAATTCGGCGAATTCGCCGAAATTTTTCACATTCCACTGTCACAACTGTACCTTCCAGATGTTTTGACGCTAGCATTGAGGAAAGAATCCGACTTTTTGCTGCTGAATTAAATCAGACATCGACTTAATCGGGAGCGCAAGCCTCAGTTTCTGCCCTAAAACCCTTAATACAAGATATTGAAGAAGCATTCTTTAGCAAGACTAAAACTGTTCGCCATATTCGCGAGTGTTCACAAAGCTGCCTTGCTTCTTTTTCGAAAACATGAGTTGTGCAACCTAATAATGGTGTTACTCACTTCCACAATAGCTTGCCATGTGCTACTTCACTTAGATTTTTGAAGGTAATTAATTACTAGATAGTGGTACAGTACTGTATGCTAGCACATAATTCTCCTGAAAATTTTGGTCGGAGCCACAATTAGCTTTGGTGCTTGTCGTAATCATCTGCATGGTAATTTCAGTAATTATACTTGAATGCTAGGATCACTAGAAAGTTGTAACCATGGAATACGGACTTCTCTTCGTAGAAACAATGCCTTTACTTTATTTAATGCTCCTGTGGACATTGTAAAAAAAGTTTGAAAGCAGAAATTTGAGCTCAGCATTGCAGTATTATCAACGTCGGATTTGCTTCAACAACAAAAAATCGGATTTTTCCTCAATTCTCACGTCAAAAAGCATCCAGAAGGTAGATGAAACCCCGTCGCCTCCGATCTAACTGAGAAACTGCAGAATTTCTTAGCCAACGCAGGTTTCTGGAACGAAATACATGTGAAAGCATTTTCAAGGCAAAAAAGCAGATAATCAGTTCTTTTTGGAGGTATGACACAGTTTGACTAAAGCACCTGTTCAACACTTTTGAATGTGTACCTATCTAAAAAAAATTGGAAGCTAGGAAGTGCTTCAATAATTAGAACGTCAGCTGGACCTATAATTTTGACCAGGCTTCAAGCCTGCTTTTTTCAAAATGTTTGATTTTTTCTTGAATAACCATACGAAAACGAGACCCGCTTTGACGACTGATAGTAAGCTGGTAAGCACACGGCTGTAACAAATTTTGGAACATTTTATTGACAACAAAGTGAGTTATGGTATTTTTTAGAGTAGACTTATAATTTTGTCCAGCACTGTACGATCTTAGCAGCATTGCGCTTACCTCCTGTGCCAACTTTCAGCCCTAATCAAAGTTTGTGAAAAAACAATAAAATTCATAACGATCAATATCATAAGTGCGAGTGTATGGGTGCAAAGTTTGGTGGGGATTGGTTAGAAATGGAATTTTCTATTTCCCGACATACGTGCAGACACACACATAGATACACATGCAAACAGATCAGCTTTATTCATAAGACTATCCAGATAGAAAGCAGTGGAGGCAAAATTTTGCTTTCTTATAATATTGGTTAATGGGAGAGGGGGGGGGGGGAGGAGATGAACAGGAGGAATGTTAGCCATTAGCCAGCCAGTGAAGGGATGATTTACTTTCAAAACATCTTATTTTTGTTGTACCATGCTTTGCTTTTGCACTCGAGCGGTTGACTTCGAGGTTTCTAATAGCAAGGGAGTGATACTTGATGACCATGACCATTTGTTTGAGATGTACAATCTTTGTAACAGAGACAGGCTCTAGTGCAATCACTCAACTACGCACGGGTTCTTCAGTATGCTGAGGCATGTGACTACTGCGCACAACAGCGCCGTCCTAGTTTTAGTCACTCTTCTTCTCTTCTTACTTCTCACTGCTTGTCCTGCTTATTGACTAACACTTCCTAAAAACTCAAGAACAGAAAATATCTTTGCGCGGAAGAACGAAACTATGGAGATTTGTGCGACGAAATATAGACAGGCGAACAAGCCAGTTTATATGGTTAGATGGAAAAAATTTATAAGTGAACCACGACAAAAACGAAAAAAATGACGCATGGAAGGCAATGTTGCGCACAGCATGGTCCCACTATACTGCAACAACTGTAGTGCTTCTGCGAAAGTGTGTGGTTGCACTAGCAAAGACCGCACAGCTGTGCGGTCATCATGGTACGCTCAGTTACGCGCCAAAAACAGCAACTAAACGTTACGCTAAAGCCAGATGAATGTCTTACCATTGTCAAATACGTCCAATCTCGTTCACTTGGTTTATTTTGCTGACCTCGGACACGGCAAAAATCTCGCGTAAAAAATAACTGATTTCTGTGTCGTTTCTCAATTGTCATGCATAGATTTGGTAACAACATTTCCAAGCGTATATTGTTCTATACATCACTTTACAAATGACTATGTCATGTTTCTTCTCCTTGTTAGTGCGATAAGTTGCATAACAGATTTATCATTGCATTTTAAAACCACACACTGCCCCTTCTTGTGAAATTTTTTAGTTTCTTAGCTTTTCAAGTTCGCTTAGCTGCCTTGCGACTTTTCATGTTGACTTATTCTTATATTTTGAATAATCTATACATGTGGTCCAACTATCCTTTGAATTTGTTGAATTAAAGGTCGTCCTCTATCGTCCTGTCTATGCAAAACTGGCAGATAGACGTGTCGCATCACCACCAACAACGAAGGAGTTTCGTTCTGGATCAGTAAGTTACCTCGATGATGTTTCACAAGCAACCTTGAAAGCAGTGCTAACTTCACATTCCACACGATCTCGGACACAACCCAAACTCAAATGCACCATTAATTTTGATTTTTTTCTGATTAATCCTTGGTGAACCTCCGGACCCCCCAGGTGGCTCTGTTCGGGTAACTCCTCTTGGGCTTAAACATTCGCAAAAACGTCAACGTGCTGTTTGAGTGCCTTCAAAGAATGGGCTTCTATCCCATTGCACACTATTAGTCGGACCACGCATCCTTTGCTTTGCCCTGTTCCTTTCATCCCGAACTGGCGATTCAACTGACCCGCATAGACACACAACGAAACTGTAAAAAGTGCTACAAGTATTACTAGCTGGTACACCCGGCTCCGCCCGGCCCTGTCAACACTGTGTCAAAGCTCACCATCCCTACTCCTGTACAACCTTTCTCTGTGCTCACTTCTACATGCCAATTTCCCGCTTGATTTCGTTTCCAGCATGGCCACTTCTCAGATAAGCCGGGGGCAGGCGGCCATGAGAATTTTGAGCAAGCGGGCACCGGAGAAGCAGTTTGCTGATTTCTTGCGCCCCGCTTGCAGAAATTCGGAAGAATGTTGACCAATTTTTAGACAAATGCTCGGAGAACTATCGCGGTTTTCCCATAGATTAATTGCGGCGCATTGGCCGCATTCTCGCGGTCTTTCCGCGAAGATATGCAAAAATATTGAGGGCCGCGCGGTCCTTTGTGGAGGACCTCACAGCCCTCGGGTACTTTCCGTTAAGAGAAAGTGCCCCAAACTTGAGTAATCAAACCATCGATGACACCTTCGCAGCATAGAGTGTCACATTTGCTCGACGTACACCCGAAACTGCTTAAAAAGAGTCCGAGCATCTGCTGTAAGTTTGGCCAACGCTCGCTGATAGAGATTATTTGACGAGCCGGGACATTCGACAGTAAAGGAGGTACCGCCCGCTGAGGGTTTGGCCACGCCTCAAAGTTCTGCTGATCGCCAGCAAGAAAACGCGAGTTTGGGGACCGCCTGCTCCCCGCGATTATCTGAGTTATCCCCCCCCCCCTCCTTTGCCGACTCCCAGCCCCGTAGCCCAATCTTTGCAAAGAATCAATTCTGATAAAAAACAGAGATGATTGTAAAGACTAATGTTGTATTCGTAATCAGCATGCTCATCCACCCTCTGCCAACTCCCAGCCCCGTAAGTTAAAAAATCAATAAAATCGATATCGGCCGATAACAAAAGGCAGCCTACGACGCTCGCTCCACCCCCCCCCCCCCTCCGAAGTATTGTTGCAAAGTTTGGTTCGGATCGGTTCAGAAATAAAAGTTTCTATTCAGAACATACGTACATACATGCAGACACACACATACATACACAAAACATACATTCAACTTTACACATAAGATGTAAGAAAAGCAGTGCCTACAACAAAGCAGTATGCACCTAAGCCGATAGTCTCTACTTGGTGGCATTATAGACGCCGGCAAGTTGGCAGACATCGCGGGAAGTTGCCAACTTCAGCTTCAGCTCACAGGGTGGTTATATGTTTTGTTAGTTCTTATTACTCTATTGTTAGTTATTCATCGACTTCGAGCGCAAGGGCGCTAATTTATAGAACACTCGTTCAATTAATATTGTTCGCCAAACAATAGCAGGAATGCACAAACAAGTGACGCCTATATAAGACGGCATGATCGATACACATGCATGTGTTAGCTTGGACTTGAAACAACAGCTAATTGATATGGACACATGAGACGGAATTGTTGCAAAAGAGATCATGAATGCAAAAAGAAGACGCTCCTGTTAAGGTTTAGTTTTCCTGCTAATGCCAGACTTCGGAGGGCGCCCCCCCCCCCCACTCCCCGAGAATGGGTCGCGAAATTTTTAAAAGTTACTTATAAGGGTTATAAAAATGTGCAAATGACTTGTCTATACTTGTAAATAATTAAAATAATTTTTAAAAATTCAAATTAGCCTTGTAAAAACAATTTTTTCGGGGTGTGGCCACGCCCCCTTTTTCCGGATTTCAGGGGCTGGGGACCCGCAAAAATTTTGAGAAGCACTCCTAAAATTTTTTCGGAGTGCGTGGCTGACGCCACGCACCTTCATTCGAAAAAATTTTTTGTCGCCCCCCCCCGAGCGGAAATCCTGGATACGCCACTGATATATATATATATATATATGTATATGTATACACTAGCGACCCTACGGGTCGCTAGCAAGTGGGTTGGGGCAGATACGTTGATACTTTAGGGAGTCGGTGTAAATAGGTTTGAACTCGTTTCATTTTTGAACGACTCGTGAGTTGTAAATAATATCATTTTGGCTAATAGATCAGTTCGGTTACTTGCAAATTCGAAATTCCATAATAATTCAGAAGCCGTCTTCCGTTAAGATTCATTGCGAAGAAGTAGCTTTAGCCTTCTATTCTTACATATCAACTAGTCAAAGTGTTTTTATCACTGAAAAGAGACAGTTATGCCCTTATGTGGCCGGACCTCTGAAAAATCGCTTTTTGATTTTTTAAGTTTCGTTCTTACAAGTTCGTTTCGTTCTTCTTGTTAGCCTATAGTGAGCGCACGGATGGAATTGTTGGTTAAATATATAAAACCTTTGGCTACATGGCGAACTACAGTGGAGATTGTTATCTGCTTCTGTGGATTTCTGCAGCCGAAAATGGTAGCATTTCCAGGCATTTGCGCGTGGAAGTCAGTTTTTTGAGCATTCAGGATTGCTTAAATCTGACCCTCTATGGTCGTAGGAGTTGCTGAAAGTTTCAGAATTTGTTGTGTGGATGCCAGTTATGCATTTTACACCCGACTTCACTCGTTTTCGGAGCATTGCTTTTCGAAGATCAAATGAAAAATCTGACTATCTCATCCTGCAACAACTTCATTGTCTTAATATTAAGTGGCGCTCAAATAGACCATCTGATTCTCCTTGATTTGCTCTTTCCAATGGTGCCATAAATAATTCTGATATAGATCAATTTGTAGCTTTGTAACAAACACTTATTGTTTAGCCAAACTGCAGTACAAACAAGATATTACGCTCCGAAAGAAAAAGCATTCAATAGTGGAAAATCATCAATTACTTTTTACTATCATCCTCGCAAAATCCTATTTTTAAAAACTCCCAGTTCCTGGATCTATTCACTGGAAAGCAAAGTATGGACAATGCTATGCCTTGAAAAGCGTTAAGCTTTTTCTTTGAGGGAGACCAAAACTACACTGTGATATTTTCCGCCAGCGGGACCAAGTGCGCCTGATCTTTTCTCCTTTGAGAACAAAAGTAGAGAACTCTTAGAGTGTAGGATCTCAAAAGTACCTTTCCGCGAAGTTCTACAAGTCTAGGAACGTTAAGAAAAAGTGTTCTGTCGCATAAAGTCCCTAGTCTTTTTGTAGTGCGTTCCTCCATGGTCTTTACTCCAGCGAGACCAAGCGCCCTGCTATTCTCTCTTTTAGAGGCAAAGGTAAAGTGTTCTTAGAGCAGAAAATCTCAAAAGGTATCTCTCAACAAAGTTTCTCAAGCCTAAATGCTAAACAATCGCGCTAGGTCTCTGGTATTTTCCACAAAGTTGATTTGCCTGGCTCTTTCCCCTTTCGAAGGCCATAGTAGGATATTCTTAGATTGGTAATTCTCAAAAGTGTCTTTCGGCAAAGTATTTCAAATCTAAGAACCCTTAAAAACAGTGTTCTGTCACGGAGTCTCTGGTCTTTCTGCCAGCGAGACTAAGTTTGCTCTGCTCTTTTCCCTTTTGAGGCAGAAGTAGGATGTTGTAAGAGTAGAAAATGTTGAAAGTATCTTTCAGCAAGTTTTTCAAAATTTATCTGTCAAGCGTAGGAGTTCCTAAGTGTCGTGTCGCATAAAGTCCTTGGTCTTTCTGCCAGCGAGACCAAGTTCGCACTTCTCTTTTCCCTTTGTAGCAAAAGTAGGATGTTTTTAGAGTAAAAGAACTCAAAAGTAACTCTCCAAATTTTTGTAAATCTAAATATGGAACACAGAATGTTTTAAAAAGTGTCCTACTTTATGAAGTTCCTGGTATTATCTGCCAGCAAAATCAAGTTTGTCCTAGTTTTTCTTTTGCAGGCAAAAGGAGGATATTTTTAGAGTAGAAAACGTCAAGAATATCATTCATTAAAGTTTTTCATTTATCTGTGAAGCGTAGGAGTTCTTAGAAAAAGTGTCCTGTCGCATGAAGTCCCTTGTAGATTCTGCTGGCAGGCCCTGTTTTTTTTTTGGAGGCACAAGTAGGATGTTCTTAGAGTACAAAATCTCAAAATTATTCTTCGGCAAAGTCTCTTGAACCTAAGCATTACTTCAAGAAAAAGTGTCCTGTCACATAAATTCCCTGGTCTTCTCTGCCAGTAAGACCAAATTTGCCCTTATTTTCTCTTACAAAGGCAAAGCAGGTTGTTTCTATAATACTTAACCTCGAAAGCATCTTTCAGCAAAGTTTTTGGAATTCATCTGTGAAGCTTAGGAATTCCTAGAAAAAGTATCTTAAAATTCCTAGATCTGCCAGCGAGACCAAGTTGGCCCTGCTCTTTGCTCTTTCAAGGGTGTTTCCATAGTTGGCAACCTCAAGTGTATCTTCCGGCAAAGTTTGTTACTTAAAATTGCTAAAAAAATGTCCTGTCGCATATATTCCCTGGTCTTTTCTGCCAGCGAGACCAAGTTTGCTCTATTCTTTTTTCTTTCAGTGCCAAAAGCAGGATGTTCTTAGAATAGAAAATCTCAAGGCAAAGTTTAAGCCCAAGAATAGTTTTAAAAAAAGTGTCCTGTTACATAAGTTCCTTGGTCTTCTCAGTAAGATCAAATCTACCCTGCTCTTTTTTCTTTCAAAGGCAAAGCAGGTTGTTTTTAGGGCGACCTCAAAGTATCTTTCGGCAATGTTTTCTGAAATTTATCTGTGGAGCTTAGGAATTCAAAAGTGTCTTGACGCAAAAATTCCTTGATCTGCCAACGAGACAGAGTTGGCCCGCTCTTTGCTCTTTCAAAGGCAAAAGAAGAGTGTTTCCATAGTTGGCAGCCTCAAAAGTATCTTTCGGCAAAGTTTATTATCGAAAAATGCTTGAAAAAAGTGTCCTGTCGCATATATTCCCAGTTCTGTTCGGCCATCGAAACCAAGTTTGTCCTATTTTTTCTCTTTCAGAGTCAAAAGTAGGATGTTCTCAAAGTAAAAAGGTCAAAAGCATCTTTCGACCAAGTTTTCAAACTTAGAAGTTTAAAAGCCCATCAGCGTTTTCCTCTCACGACAGCAAGACTCGCCTGTTGCTTTTCTTTCATAGCAGATAGGGTTTTCTCGGACTACTTGCTCCCAAAATGATTATTCGAAACCAATTTTTTGTAATAGGAAGGTATTCCTTGAGAAAATAACTTTCTGCCAAAGCTCCTGCTCCTGTTGTTTCTCCCTCTCGCAAGGCCAAGTCCTTACGGCTCTTCTTTTTTTCAGCAGTTTTTCAGAAAACATGCTCCTAGAAGAGATTTTTTGTCAGATAAAATAATAATATACATGGAAACATGGAAATATGCTCTGCAGAAAATTTTTTTTGTCAAAAGCCCCTGAATTTTTCGTCCAGAAAAGCTAAAGCATGCTCTGCTTTTTGCTTAGAGCCAGAGGTAGGATTTTTAACACACGCTCACAGGAGTTTTTCGCCATAGTAGGAAGTTGAGGATTCGATTTGATGCTCGTCGCTCTCTAGTATTAAGGTCAGCAACAGTATCCGCAGACACTCTTGCTCGAACTATATGTTCTTGGCACATTAGCCAGCTGTTCTTCTTCTTTGAATAATTGACTTAGTTTTCAAGCCCATCCTCGCGAAAAACCTACGGGCTTGCTTAGTAATAGAGTCTAATGGTTAGGCCGAGTCTCCGTCAAGGTGGTTGGAAGTAATGGAGCAATTTTGATTCGATGAACTTTGTAACTTTCCGTTCTGGCCACTAAAAACCATGCTAAGCACAAGGCCAATTCTACAAAAATTTTGGACAAGGCGGAAGGTTTATTGTTGCAAAGCTGTTGCAAACCTCGACCTCCCATTGAGTTTCTGCTGTGCTTATTGCCAGTAACTCTATCAACTCTGACTTCAGCACTTCTGGCTGAATTTTAAGACTTTTACACGTTTTCTTGCGAGGCCCGACGAAATGAAAAATTTTACATAGACAAAGAAGGTGTCGTGCCCGAAATGTTCGCCTGATGATCAATTTCGCCTCTCATTCTTTGAAAACTTACATAATGGAAGTTGCGCCATCCGACTAACAAAAATAGCACATTAAAATTTCCGGAATGATAGTTATCAAAAGTCCCATTTCAGTTTACTCGTATTGCGGACACCTGTCAGTCAATGATTACTGAATCTAATGGTAGACGTCGTAGCGTCATCATCTCGTCGCCAGTGATGAACGAACAACGCGATTCGAAGCTACATTCACAGCAAAGCTTGAAGATCGATGCAGAAGAGGATGTCACAAATCCTCTCATTCACAACACTTCTTAGTCAGTTTAACTTACTTTGAGCTATTGATCATCATGTGCCTTGTGATACTTTTCTATTTGCAAACTGTAATCACGCTGATACAAGGAACACTGCAACCAGTGGCACTTGATCTGCATTCACTATCTCTGATCTCTCCAGAAGAATCTCAATTTTTGCATGGTCTCACCATTGGTTGTTCTCTACCTGTGATAAATATCGGAATCTTTTACAACGTGACGCAAATAGGACACTCAAATAAGTGCTTGTATATGACTTGTGATGCTTTTACGATGTGGACTGTTGCGTCCTGCATTCGATATATCTTCTGCGATTATTTCATCAAAAGCAATTCCGTCCAAGCATACGTCTGTAAACGCTCTAGGTATCTTCCGGAATAAAGCGTTACGATTTCTTGCTCTCTTCATTCTCAAGCAAAGATAGTCTAAAAACTCAAAAAAGAACTTAAAAAAGCTGGCTATTCGCACCTTGTTCTTTAAAGGTGAGGGTCACTTTTGAAAATAATACTGTTCTTAACAGGAACAGAGCCCGCGTTTAGTTTTCTTGCGCCCTCTAATCTCCACTCTGTCTTGCTTGTTGTTCCGGCGACTTTTATCTGCTTTGTTTTCTAAACCACTAGAAGAGTGACTCATACATAGGATGCCGCATCGTTACAAGAGAGCATGTTCTTGTGATTTCTATCGCATCATCAAAAAGGCAGTTTCAGCGATGTACCCGTTGTAGATCACAGCAATATCTACGGATTACTCAAAAAGGAAAGACTCATATCAAAAGCTCAATAGAAAAGTTCCAAAGACAAGGTCATACTTAAGATCGAGCTAAATCCAAAAACTAATCTTGGTGACAAAAATCAGAGTAAGATTATGTTTGAGTTCGTCGTTCCCCAGAGTTCGCGCTTTGGTGTGAACTAACTGGGACGTGCGGATCTGTTACTGGATAAAGAAGAGCAGCCCACAAGTTAATAACAATTACGGGCATGATTACTAATTCAGCAAAAGTAGAACCAACTTCTGAAAATTCAGGGTTTTGCCAAACGGATATTCACCTTTTGTACATCTAATCCCCCGTTATGCTCTGACTCTTTCGACGCCAACATACTCATTCGTCTCTCATCCTGACGTCTTCTTCATGTGTAGGGAAAGTGATTGACAGTTTGAAAACTCAAATCATCATACTGTTCTGCAGAGATTCATGCATGGAGATTCGAGACGGGTACTATAAACAAATATGGACAGCAGACAAAATGAGAGATCGATTTTGAGATAAGTCTCCGTAAATTACGAGCGCTCTTTATGTTTTTTACTATCTCGCTATGCTGAGCTGTGTTTGGTAAAAATCTCAATTCGGAAAGCATTTTCACTGCAGAAAATGCGTTTTGAAAGAGGACCAAACGTGTAAAGTGGGATTTCGCTGGTAAGCGAGCTTTTCAGGGTCGAACGCTATGGAATCTACGCAGGGGCTTCCTGGAACAAATGGAATAAGTCTGTGCAAAAATAAAGCGAAAAGAAAATGGACGAGCGCAAGAGCACACATTTTGTCGGATAGAACATAAAAGCGCTCATTCTTCAACCCTGTTTCGAACTCAAAGTTCTGCTGATCAAGAAAAAAAGGAGCGGGGTAGAGGAATAAGGCCATAATGAGAGAATTCTGGAAGAGAAACCGTTGAAAACGGTCAAAATTCTTCAACTCCCGCCGTTCAATAAGCGTGCGGGGCACCGGAACATGGGAATCAGTATGAACCCAGCCTTAGGAGCCGAGCTGGTCTCATAGAATACATTTCGTCATCGGTCGATATTGGCTTATCGATTTTTTGCAATCTTTGAGTTACAGGTGTAAGAGTTGGCACAAGGAGTAAGCAGCAGTATGCGGCATAAATCATCAGTTTACATGTGTATATAAACATAATATCTGCAATCAGAGCCATCTGTAACCATTCGCGGCGATATTTGGCCAAAGTATGCGATCTTAGAATTTCGAACGATTTTCATGAGAGCATGAGTTCGTCAGCTCACAGTTCGGCGATCAATACAGATAAGGGAGCTTAGGCATACTCTGAAAGTACCGTCTATAGTGGTTTCAAATTACAAAGAGGAGCAGGTAAGTTTTCCAACAGGTACGCGAAAAGGGCGTACAAATTTAGGAACTTGCGTAGTATCGCATCATTCCGCTCAGCATAACCCTGCTAAAAGAACTTACACTGCACAAAAAGCACTATTTCTGTAATCAGCGAGTCCGAAAACCTCTATGGGCCAAGCCGGTCAATCCAAGATCATCAATATTTCAGCCAAAACCCGTCGGCGAGCTTTAGAGCCTAGAACGAGAAAAAATCAAAGAGCCCGAATTCCTCGAGAAACTTGCGCATAAGGGTTATTTAGCGTGCTGATCACGAAAAACGCACCTGCTTTGCAAATTAGTGTCTTACTGTATGTTTACAATAGCTAAAATTTGAGTGACATCGATTTTTGCAAAATTCACCGGCTTATCTTTCTCTTTGGAAAAGGGTTCCTGCGCTACTCGCTAGCGCATGATTATCTACGGTAATAGAGCTACCGAACTGTGTTTGCTAGAGTCTTCCATATGTGTTTATCGCTGAGTTACACCACTACGAAAATCCGTCCTCATACAAAAATCGAGCAAACTGAAAACGGAATAGTAAGAGGGTGTAGTATATCACAAGATTCGTCTTGACGCGCTGAACATCATGCTTTCTTCGAATTCATATTTTATGCAATCTGGAGGAAGTTACTAAGAAAAAACGAAAAAACACAGGTCGTCAGTTTTTGCGTTTTTCGGTTTAAAGCCGCGAAAATCATTGAACCCCACATATTATAAATTATTTGAAAGCTGTTGAAGAGGAGAATCCAATTTATGAAATCGCAACATGATTCATGCAGCTCTGAAGAAGTTATGAGCTACTGATGTTCAAAAAGCGCTTTTTTACCTGCTTTTTCAAGACCCTGGATCTCGGCGCTGTTTCAGTGGATCGGTACCGCTAAGATATATTCTGATAAAGCAAATCTTTACAAAACCTATTACATCGCAACATCACACACAAACCTATAAAGTCGCAACATCACACACTTTCATTTTCAAGATTTATATGAGTTTAACTGTCAGCTGTCATTAATCACGCTTTGAATAGCGTAATTATTTGAAATTCTGGTTTTCAGCAACTATCTCTTAAATAAACTCGATTTTTTCTTCATCTGATAGAGCACCATTTACTCTTTGCAGCCTATGAAGTCATAATTGCTGACTCTTCAACAGCAAGATTTATAAAAGTGGAAATTTGGCATAACTTATCGTTATTTTATCATTCGAAATTCTGGTTCTCGGCGGTAACTGCCTGGATCGACCTACTTTCGCAGTACGTTATAACATAATTTACTTAATAAAATCTGTAAAGTCTCGCTGAGTTTCACTTCAAAATACACCATTTACTGAACACGTTTATTTTGAATATATGTGCCGCCGTATGCATAAAAATATGCTTTCAATAATCTTTTCTGCGTTTATTTTGCTCATTTTCCGCGCACTGACGGCAAAGACCTGGAAGGATAGGCTCAGTCGACGTTAACGCTCCCCCCCCCCCCCGTCGACGTTTTTACGAGGTGAGTGTCCGGCACTACCACCTTCACTTTTGGCCGGCAAGTGGTAGCTGGGACCACCTTAACTTTTGGTGGGCCCGGCTCCACCCATCGCACCTCTGCTGCGGAGACTATAGAGGATGTGGTAAAAAGTTCGGAATACATATATTCCAAACACCCCTGCATTTTTGCAAATTATTCAACGGATTCCGGGTGTTTCTCTGAATTAGGGCCCTGTAAGGATACATATCAAAAATACAATCTACAAAATTGAAGAATGTTTGGAGCATACATATTCCGAAATTTTTAGCACTTCCTCTACGGTATCAGCAGGTATCCACTCGGCCATCACCCCACAAGTGACATTTCCCGGAAGATCACTGAGCAGCTAAGGAACACGGATTTGTTATTGGTGCCCCAAGGCCGGCACAATGATATGCATCACGTGTGGCAACCCCATTTCGACCGAGGGTACTTCCCTTGTGAGAAGTAATCGCCAAAGCTGAAAAAAATCGCTGCGGAAACACTGAGAGGAACAAGGTGAGGAAACTTTGTTACTTTTTGTGGTTTTCCACAAAAAAGTCCGCCACAGTCGAGGGGTAATCTCTGCGATGTTGTCTACATTAGTACGAAAAAACTGCGTGAAGAGAGAACTAAACTAAAAAAATCCAAAGTTTTCCGAAGACGCAGTTTTTGCCAGATTCCTCATTCATAAAGAAAAATAGGGTTTTGCGACCTTGTCAGCGTGAAGGTAGGGATCACGAGCTTGAATATGCTATATACAGTTACGACAGTAAAATGTGAAAATTCTCGGCGAGTTCGGCGATGTCGGCAAAAAACGCGAATTCGCAGACATCGCCGACATTGCCGAGAATTTTCACATTTTAACACGTTTTGGGCCGGTGCTGTGCATGGAAGCACGTTGAATTGAACGATCTTTTTGACGTTTACAGGAGGTCTTTTAGTCCAAGGTTATCAGGTCAAAAGCCCAATCTCCTAAATTTTGAATGGCTTTGTAGAGCTATGCCGCCGATTTTAGTTTAGGAGATATGAGAACAAATCGAACAATAGTTGCAACGAAATGCGGCGACGCGAACGATGCGTGCGACGTCGCATCATTTCTCTGCTTCGATTTCATAGAAAAAAACCGAAACTACAAAAATGATTTGTACTGTTACAACAAAGATACTTTTGACTACTATTAGAAACTGAGTTTTTGTTTCTATCTTTCAAAGAAGCATAGAAGTCTCACTCAAGCGACGAAATTCAACCACTTCGGATTCACTCAGAACTTTGAGTATCGAGCTTATCTGGCATGCTGATAACAGATATAGCCCACAGTCTACGAAATAAGGTTCCTTTGTTGGCTAACGGCTGAAAGTACACTCTTTTTCGCCGCGCGCGATTTCGCGGTCCGAAACGTGCTAAAGTCATAATTGTAGTTTGCTAGAATTGGGTTCAAGACAACTAAGAAAGGGTGCCAGAGCCAAATTCCCAGTACTCCGCGTTTAAGTTAACAAGGTGGTGCGCAACGCTCAAAGACGCAAACGAGCAGAGGAGAAAGACCAGAGCCAATGGGACACTTGGCTCTGATAATAGCTCTCTGCGGGGTCTCAACAAAACTTTGCAACATTATATATCAATGATTGCGCAACATTATATATCATAATGATCGCCATGACACGACTACGAACGCTGGCAATGTTGTGAGCGTTGAAAGTCATTAATTTTGAGTGAAATGAACCAGCATTTTCGTGCGCGTCCGTCTGCGCACGATTTAAAAGCACCGTCCACCC